AAGGAAGAAATTAAAAACTTCCTGGAAACCGCCCTGGTCGGTTTGGCTCAGCGGTTAGAGCGTCGGCCTGCGGTCCTGAGAGACCCAGGTTCGGTTCCCGCTAAGGGCGCGTACCTCGGTTGCAGTTTGTCCCCGGCCCTGGTCGGTTGTACGGGTGGCAGCCACCCGATGTGTTCCTTTCACATTGATGTTTCTCTCTCTCTCTCTGTTCCTCTCTCTCCCTCCCACTCTACCTGAACAAAAAATGGAAAAATATCCTCGGGTGAGGATAAAAAAACAAAACAAAACAAAAACTTCCTGGAAACCAATGAAAATGAACACACAACAACACAAAATCTATGGGATGCAGCGAAAGCAGTTCTGAGAGGAAAGTTCATAGCACTACAGGCCTTCCTCAAGAAACAGGAAAAATTTCTAATTGACTGTCTAACCTCACAACTTAAAGAATTAGAAAGCAAACAAAAAGAAAACCCCAGAGCAAGTAGAAGGAAGGAAATAGTAAAGATCAGAGCAGAAATAAATGACATAGAGACCAAAAAAACAATTCAAAGGATCAATGAAACAAAGAGCTGGTTTTTCGAAAAGATAAACAAGATCGATGGACACCTAGCTAGACTCACCAAGAAACAAAGAGAGAGAACCCAAATACACAAAATCAGAAATGAAAGAGGGGAAGTAACAACCAACACCACAGAAATATAAAAGATCATTAACAGCTACTATGAACAACTATATAGCAACAAATTCGACAATCTAAGCGAAATGGACAAATTTCTAGAAACACACAGTCTCCCAAAACTGGACCAGGAAGAGATAGAAAACTTGAACAGACCAATAACAACTAAGGAAATTGAAGATGTAATCAAGACTCTCCCAGCAAACAAAAGCCCAGGCCCAGATGGCTTCACCGGGGAGTTTTACCGAACATTCAAAAAAGAACTAACACCCATTCTCCTCAAAGTATTTCAAAAAATTCAAGAAGAGCCCTGGCCGGTTTGGCTCAGCAGTTGGAGCGTCGACCTGCGGTCCTGAGAGACCCGGGTTCGGTTCCTGCTAAGGAACCGAAGGTAAGGAAACTGTACCTCGGTTGCAGTTTGACCCCAGCCCTGGTCGGTCGTGCGGGTGGCAGCCACTCGATGTGTTCTTTTCACATCGATGTTTCTCTCTCTCTCTCTGTTCCTCTCCCTCCCACTCTACCTGAACAAAAAAATGGGAAAATGTCCTCGGGTGAGGATAAAAAAAAAATTAAAAAGAGGAAGAAAAAAAAAATTCAAGAAGAAGGAAGACTTCCAAACACGTTCTATGAGGCCAGCATAATTCTAATTCCAAAACCAGAAAAAGACACTACAAAGAAAGAAAACTACAGGCCAATATCCCTGATTAACATAGACGCTAAAATCCTGAACAAAATACTAGCAAATTGGATCCAGCAATACATCAAAAAAATTATTCACCATGACCAAGTGGGATTCATTCCAGAGATGCAAGGCTGGTACAATATTCGCAAATCAATAAATGTGATACACCACATAAACAAAATTAAGAATAAAAACCACATGATCATATCAATAGATGCTGAAAAAGCATTCGACAAAATCCAGCATCCATTTCTGATAAAAACACTCAGCAATGTGGGAATAGAGGGATCATATCTCAACATAATAAAGGCCATATATGAAAGACCTACAGCAATGGGCAGAAACAAAAAACATTTCCCTTAACAACAGGAACAAGACAAGGATGCCCACGTTCTCCACTCTTATTTAACATAGCACTGGAAGTCTTAGCCACAGCAATCAGACATGAGGAAAAAATAAAAGGGATCCAAATTGGAAAGGAGGAAGTGAAACTGTCATTATTTGCAGATGACATGATATTATACATAAAAAATCCTAAAGACTCCATCAAAAATGTACTAGACTTAATAAATGAATTTGGCAAAGTAGCAGGATACGAAATTAACGTCAAGAAATCGACGGCATTCTTGTACACCAATGACGAACTCACAGAAAGAAAAACTGAAAAAACAATCCCATTTACCATTGCACAAAAAAAATTAAGATACCTAAGAATAAACCAAAGAAGTAAAGGACCTGTTTACAGAAAACTACAGGACATTGAAAAAAGAAATAGAGGAAGATATAAAAAAGTGGAAGCACATACCCTGTTCATGGATTGGGAGAATTAACATCATTAAAATGTCCATACTACCCAAAGCAATCTATAAATTCAATGCAATCCCCATCAAAATACCAACGACATATTTCACAGAACTAGAACAAATACTTCAAAAGTTTATATGGAACCAAAAAAGTTCCCGAATAGCCACAGAAATTTTGAAAAAGATGGACAAAGTAGGTGGGATCACAATACCAGATATCAGGTTATACTACAAAGCTACTGTAATCAAAACAGCCTGGTACTGGCACAAGAACAGGCATATTGACCAGTGGAACAAAACTGAAAACCCAGAAATGGACCCAAGGCAATATGCTCAATTAATATTTGACAAAGGTGGCAAGAGCATACAGTGGAGTAAAGACAGCCTCTTTAATAAATGGTGTTGGGAAAATTGGACAGCTACATGCAAAAAAATGAAACTAGACCATTCACTTACACCATACACAAAAATAAACTCAAAATGGATAAAAGGCTTAAATGTAACCCGTGAATCTATAAAAATTCTAGAAGAAAATGTAGGCAACAAAATTTCGGACATCATACGGAGCAGAATTTTCACTGATACATCACCTAAGGCAACAGAAACAACACAAAAAATGAACACATGGGACTACATCAAACTAAAAAGCTTCTGCACAGCAAAAGAAACAATCATCAAAATGGAAAGGCAACCCACTGTATGGGAGAACATCATTGCCAATGATGTATCAGATAAGGGGTTAATTTCCAATATATATAGAGTGCTCGTACAACTCGACAAAAAGAAGACAAGAACCCAATTAAAAAATGGGCAGAGGAGCAGAACAGACACCTCTCCAAACAGGACATACAAATGGCCAAGAGACATAAGAAATGCTCAACATCACTAATCATCAGAGAGATGCAAATTAAAACAACAATGAGGTATCACCTCACACCTGTCAGAACGGCCACCATCAACAAATCAAACAACAAGTGTTGGCGAGGGTGTGGAGAAAAGGGGACTCTAATACACTGCTGGTGGGAATGCAGACTGCTGCAGCCACTATGGAAAAAAATATGGTGTTACCTCAAAAAATTAAAAATTGAACTTCCATTTGACCCAGTGGTCCCACTTCTAGGAATATACCCTAAGAAGCCTGAAACACCAATCAGGAAAAATATATGTACCCCCATGTTCATAGCAGCACTATTTACAATAGCTAAGATCTGGAAACAGCCCAAGTGTCCATCAGTAGACAAATGGATAAAAAAGCTGTGGTATATATACACAATGGAGTACTATGCAGCTGTAAGAAAGAAAGATCTCTTATCCTTTGAGACAACATGGAGAGACCTGGAAAGTATTATCCTAAGTGAAATAAGCCAAGCAGAAAAAGACAAATACCACATGATCTCACTTATATACGGAATATAATGAACATAACAATCTGAGGAATATGGTAGACCCAGAAACATGGAAGTAGGCCACAGACTGACATCCCTCAGAAGAGGGGGTGGGAGGGTAGGAAGAGATAAACCACAGAACTTATATGCATGTATGCATGACCAATGGACATGGACAACTAAGCCGGGGACGGGGCGGGGGTGGGGTGGGGAGGTGGGTGCGAATGGGGTAAAAAAGGAGAAATATCTGTAACAAAAAAATAAATAAATAAAAATAAATAAATAAATAAATAAATAAATAAATAAATAAATAAATAAAATGATGAAGGCAGCTCTCCTCCTCCAGGAAGTCTGACCAGATTGCTTCAATCACACTGTATTGTTCCTCCCTTTGGTTTCTAAGACATGGAAGGCAAAGACCATTCATTCAGCAAATATATATTAGCATCTTCAGGGAGCCAGGCTGGGGATGCAGTGACAAGCAAAGACCACCTGCCCTCCCTGATGACACTGGCCTTTTGGTTTCTCTTCTTAGGTTGACTGCTCTCCCCCAGGCCCACCTCCAATAATGCCTCAAATGTCCCTTCAAGAACTCCCTAAGCCCTCCCTAGATCCTCGACACCAACCCTCTGGGTCACCTCAAACAAGGAGAACATTTTATTTATTTTTATTTTATTTTATTTTTTTATCCTCACCTGAGGACACTTTTTTTGTTGTTGTTCAGATAGAGTGGGAGGGAGAGAGAGAGAGAAAGAAACATCAACGTGAAAGGGACACATCGAATGGTTGCCACCCACACGACCCAGTCAGGGCCGGGGACAAACTGCAACCGATGTATGTGCCCTTAGTGGGAACCGAACCCGGATCTCTCCAGACCGCAGGCCGACGCTCTAACCGCTGAGCCAAACCGGCCAGGGCAAGGAGAACATTTTAAATAATTAAGTGAAACTCAAAGGATTATGGATGACACTGGAGATGTGAGGACCTGTAAGCAAGGCCTCAGGACTCCTCGTGCCAGCATGTGTAAGCACACACACACACACACACATACACATGCACACGCACACACACACCACTTGTGTAACCTCCCCCCCAATGGAAAGTCCTACTTCCTCCTTCCTTCCTGGGACAAGCTCCTCCCCACTCCTAGGGTCCCAGGCCAGCAGCTGTGCCCCCCCCCCCACCCCAGCCAGGCCCTGGTTACAGGTCCAAGCTACAGGTACAAGTACAAACAGCCCCTTGCTGGCCTGGAGAAGGCCACTGGGCACTGTGGCCCCCACTCAGCTTGGCTCCAGAGTCTGTACTGAGGGGAATTTAAACCAGTTTCTTGTCACTGGGGCTAGGAAGAAAGGGAAGGAGGACAACCCATCAACTTCTGAAAGAAGAAAAATACCTAAAAAGAAATAAAGTATTTTACTCAAACACACAAATATACACTCTGAACCCCACCTGGGAGCTGGTAAAACAATTTTCAATTCTTAGACCTGTGTGTCTTCCAGGGTCTGGCCTGGGCTTCCTGAAGTGTCCCCAGGAGCCCACAGCGCCCCACCTGCCCCACCCAGAGGCAACACGAGCTGCTCCTGGAGCAGAGAGGGGAGGAAGCCAGTCTTCAAGAACCTCGGCTGCTGAAGGCTGCAGGGGACAGGCCAGGGTCTGCAGGCCTCTGCTCCCTGGGATTGCCGGGACCCTCCCTTCCACCTTCCAGCCCCCCTCGGAGATGGAGGGAGGTGAGAGGCTCCGCAGGCCAGTCCTCCACCTCCAGAGTGCTGGGGTTCAGCTCAGTCTGTGGGGGGCTTGAGGCAGGGGTGCAGGTAGTGATCCTGTGCTCAGCCCGCAGGGGCACATGTTGAGGTGACCAGTGGACCGTCCCTGCTTCTACACCCCAGTCTGCTCTTTAATCCAGTCCCGAAATATGGGGAGTCTTGTGTAGACACCTGGCTTGTCCCGCTGAGCACAGCCTTCGCCCCAGCTCACCACGCCGGCCTGGAAGATCCGCCCATCTTCCTCCACACTGGACAGGGGGCCCCCCGAGTCGCCCTGAGGAGAGACAGGCCCTGAGTGCCCCACCCATGTCCCCAGGCCCACCCCAGCCCAGTGCCCTGGTGCCCCGCACCCACCTGGCAGGCATCCACGCCCCCGCTCAGGTAGCCCACGCACATCATGCGCGGGGTGATCTGCTGCGGCATCAGCTTCTCGCAGGTCGTTTGGTTGATGACGCGGATCTCGCCCTTCTGCAGGATCAGCACCACGGTCCCTGGGGGGGAGAGGGGGGACAGGCTTCTGAGGGGGCCACGCCATGCGGGGAACAGCACCCTCCAAGATGCTCGCACGAGAACAGAGGAGCAGAACTCTGGAGACAACCCAAGCCTGAGGCTGCCAAACAGCTCAGAGACCGAGGCCGCATCCACCGTCGGATATTCCGCGGCCACACACAGCCAGCAGCTGGCCGGCTGCAGGGCACGGAGGACACACCACGGACAGCGTGTGGCAACAAGGAACAGAAAGCGGGAGAAAGCCACAGACGTTGTGAAGGCACAGAGCCTCAGGGAGGTTATTTTCCTCCTTCTCCGTAGTCACAGGCTTTCGGCAGGCAGTGCACGATAGCACATGAGAACCGAGTTTCCCAGCATAACGTGCCGAGGAACGGCCTTCGGACGGAGGCAGGAGGCAGGCCAGGCTCCCACCACCAACCGCACCGGCACAGCTCGACAGGCCTCCCTAAGTCATCGTGTCCACAACAGTGTTCTCATAGTCTCTGAGTACCATTTGGGAAGGCGTTTTTGCTTCATTTTACAGGTGAAGAAACAGGCTCAGAGTTTAAGCAACTTGCCAAAGTCACTCAGTTAAGTGGCACAACCCAGCCTCCCATCCCCCGCTTTCGCTGGGAGCCCCCACCTCACTCCTGAGCAGCTTCATCCTGCGGGGGCGGGGCAGCTCACCTCCCTCGTAGGTGTGGCCCCAGCCAGTGACCCAGATGGCCTTGCCAGTAGGGAAGACGTGCGAGGAGTCGGGCAGGCAGATGGGCCGCACGGTGCTGCTGTACTCCACCGGCTGCTCCAGCTCCAGCAGCGCGATGTCGTAGTCGTAGGTGAAGTCGTTGAAGGAAGGGTGGGTGATGACACGCTTCAGGCTGCGCTTCTGCACCCCAGAGGCACTGCGCTTGCTCTGGTCATGCAGGCCCAGGAAGGCCGTCCACATGGTGGGGTCGGAGTACCTGCAGAGGGAGCCAGAGAGCACAAGGTGAGCTCGCCACCCAGGACGCAGCCACCTGCCACACACCTGCCGTACACCTGCCGGACACCATGAGGGGAGTGTGGTTTCTGCTTGGCCACTGCCCTCACCTGGAAACCAATGGGTGACTCCTACCGCCTCATTCACCCCCATTCCCTCTTAGTTGCCCTCTTTCAATTCATTTTTATCTGATTACCAAAAAATACCCTATTCTATCCTATTAATCTCATGTTTCACAGAAGGAATAACACAGAACTCAATCCAAATACTTCTCTAACACAGTGGCATATATTCTATGTACTAAAAGAACTGGAAAAATACAATGAACTTGATCTGTCGGTTTGCTGCTGGTGGCAGGGCCGAGGTTGCAACTTTGAAAATGCCTCGAGTTTACCAGAGGACTGAACACAGGGACAAGACACTGATGTTGGGGGCCAATTTCTGATGTGGGGAGAGGGGGCCACAAATAAGGAGCGGGGCAGAGGAAGAACCCTGTGCTGCCGATGTGCAGAGGTAGCAGTAAAAACTCCTGATCCCCCCCCCCTCAAAAAAACAGCCTAAAAGCTGTGACATCTCCAGTATCACTCAGAACTTGGTTTCTAAATAACCTCTCCATTCAAAGGAACCAAGGCTCCTTGGAGAAGTTGTTGCTTCCAGGTGTGAGGAAGTAAACAATAAAGCCAACCTAGAACATGTGTTGAACAGAAGTGAGTGGGTTCAAACAAAGATGAGCCAGCAGGACAAGGGCTCACTGGCCAAACTCAGGATCCTCTGAACATCTACGTTAACAATAGGATTTGTTTTACTACACATGCTGGACACCAGAAAAGGGGGAATGGAAATCCATGAGTCCAGCCTGAGTCTAAACAGTCATTTCAAAAAAAGCGGTAAGGGGAGGAGGATAGCTATTCCTTACAGAGAAACGCCAGCTGATACATGTAGAAGAAAGGAGCAATGATAAATCGCATTTTGCACCTACCATAGCAACAACCAACACATGCGCAAATCATCGAGGGATGCTAGAACCGTTGGGTCAAAGATTGTTGAGGAACGAGATATTCACACCGATTCAAGTATCTTCCAAAGTTACTTATTAATGACCAAAGCAGAAGTACCTTTCTGGAGGGGAAACCCAGGGACACCACCTTAACCAAGTACTCAGACTTTCCTCTCAGTCATACCCATTGATATCCTGTGGTCCCTGAGAAGGACACACTATTGCCCAAGTAGTATTTCCTACAAAGAAATGTGTAACCTAACTCTCATGAAGAAGCAACAATCAGAAAAACAATATTCCTTTGTTTCTGCTAACATGTGAAGATCAGTATGGCACAATAAGAAGTACTTAGAGGCAGATAAGATCTCTCGCTCCTTCGAAGTCTGACGCTTGGGTCGCTAAGTCGGAGGCAGTTCCTCTTTTCTGGTTTCGCACTGGCTCATCTTAACAGACTGGGTCACATTTGTTGTAAGATGTACGTAATCTAATGCTAACTTTGAGACCAAATCTTCTGTCACCGAGGTGTTCTAACATACCGTGGTGTTTAAAAGAAAAATATTTTTCAGAACAAAATGTGTGTGTGCATGTGCATGTGTGGAGAAATGAACATCGACCCATGCACCAAGAGGTCGCTGGTTCGATTCCCTGTCAGGACACATGCCCAGGTTGCGGGCCAAATCCTCAGTGGGGGGCATGCAGGAGGGGGCCAATCGATGTTCTTTCTCATCAAAGTTTCTATCTCTCTCTCTAAAAATCAATAAAGAAAATAAAAACTGGGAAAATATATCTTTTTCTTTTACTCCTCACTCGAGGATATTTTACTATTGATTTTCAGATAGAGTGGGAGGGAGGTAGAGAGAGAGAGACATCGATGTGAGAGAGACACATCGATTGGTTGCCTCCCGCATGACCCCAACCAGGTCTGGGGATCAAACTGCAACTGAGGTCTGTGCCCTTGACCAGAATCGAACCCGCAGCTCTTTGGCCCAATGGCTGATGCTCTAACCACAGAGCCAAACCGGCCAGGGCTGGGAAAATGTCTTTAAAACAGAAACTGCATATGATCTCTGACCTCTTAGGAGAGTCAGGAGGCCACTGGAGCAGTCTCCCCCCGCCCCCTGCCCTCTGCTGACTCAGCACTCCACCCCATTCTCGCGGCCCCTCCCCCCAGAGTCTCACCCCCAACTGAAGTGCCAGCCTCCACACTGACCTTTCGGCCCCTGGTTTCACTCTCATCTGTTGCTGCCAGATAACTTCCTCAAGACTGCTTCTGTGAGAATCTCTGTCTCATTAACCACCTGCCATGATTCCCAAGACCTACCAGGTCAACCTTACCTCACCAACCAGACACTCGATATCCCCATTAATTCCGCCTGACCCTTTCCAACTTTTCCCTGTCATCCTTATATTCAACCATGTATCCATCCACTCGTCTGTTTCTTTATTCAATAGTTATTGGGCATCTGAGGTTCTAGGAATGGCAGCAGACCCAGGAGAACCGCCCACGACAGCAGTGTGGAAGGTGTCCTTCCGAGGAGTGGACGGGCGCCATGGGAGCCCATGCAGTGGGAGGCGTGAGGACGGAGCGGGTCACATGACCAGGCCTAGGGAGCAGGTCACATGACCAGGCCTTGGGGATCTAAGAGGAATTGGTCAAATCCTCCAGGCGGGGAAAAAGCAGCTTATTCAAAGAGGGCAAAGGGGGTGTTTCGGAAGCCACCACCCCTCATCCAAATTGAACACACAGACAGTATGAGGCCAGAATAGGAGACTGAGGTGGAAGAGAAGGGCGGGGCCAGATGCTGGCCCATGTGGGTGACGCTAAGGCATTTCTACGCTGTCCTGCAGGCCCCGGCAGGCATGTAAGTAGGGGTTGACAGAATGGGGTTGGCTCTTTGGAAAGACCACTCTGGCACTGGTGAGTACAGACTAGAGTGCCGAGAAGGAGCAGGTGGCACCTGCTCCACCCTGGCATGACTCAGACACAGAGGCTCTCCAACCCCAGAATACGCAGAGGGGGACTCTGCTGCTCGCCCGGTGACTCACTTGAACCCTCTGTCGTCGTCGAAGCAGTGAGCTGCGGACACCATCCAGCTGTGAGAGATGAGCGAAGCCCCGCACAGATGGCCCTGGCCCAGGGCGTGGAGGCTCACCTGCCAGGGCCACTCGCCTTCTTCTGCGTCCTTGCCTCCGACGACCCGAGACTGCCTGCTGAACGGCCGCAGCCCGCAGTCTGGGAGGGGCAGAGAACCGAAGGAAGGGACAGTGAGTTAAGGTGGGTACCGGCCCAGGCTCCACCAGGCCCAGTGAGAGCCCGTAGGGGGCAGGTGCCTTGCAGGGGGCATAGCTCTGCTGGTGCAACTGCGGCATGAGGGACTCCTACGAGTAGGGAACTCTGAGCCTGGCTTCCACGGGCCCCTCTGCCCTGCTCCCGAGCTCAAAACCCCCACACTTCCCTCTGCCCCACCCTGCACAAATGCATCCGGGTGCCCTGCAGACACCAGCTGGTTTGCTTAGATTTACGAGGGTGTCATTTGCCTAGATTTCCTTGTCAAATGCTGAAGACACAGCCCTCAGAGGGAACAGCAGCTGGATGACATGAAGTCAGAGAACAACTGTGGCTACGCTCAGCTTTAACCTGGGACAGTGCTTCTGAAACACACGAGAGACTACAAATGAAAGTATGGGGTGGGGTGCAGGCAAAACCCTGCCCGGGGCTCCAGCAAGCTGTGCCCGCTCCCCCTGGCAGGACGGGAAAGCCAGGGCTGCCGTTCCGCTGAGGCCGGGTCTACGAGCTGGGGCCAGCCCAGCACCCCCACCAGGTCAACTGACATGCTGGCTGCCCTGGGTCTTGCCTCCCGGGTCAGAGCATGCCCATGGGCAGAGCCCTCGTGCCAGTCAACAAACCAGCAAGGGGATCCTTTCCCCCAGGCGGCCATGCCCTCGCGCCAGGGCAGACATGCACGAGGGAGGCACTGCCCACGTCTGTCAGTGCTGCACAGTGAGCCACCTGCACCCCACGGGCAGCGGCCCTGCTCACCGCAGTTCCTCTCATCCGAGCCGTCACTACAGTCCTTCTTCCCGTCACACTCGGGGTTGCTCTTGCTCACACAGCGCCCGTCTTGGCAGCGGTAGGTGTGCTTGGTACAGGTGACGGTGGTCTCTGCACGAGGGGGACACGGGGAGTCAGTTCCCCTGGGCACCCCAGCAGAAGCCTGATGGTCCACCCACCTACGCCGCTCCCTCAGCCCCGCCCCACCCATCCACACCTCAGCCCGCGGTCCTTCCAGCCCTGCCCCAGGCTCTCCCCTTCCGGAACATTCTGCCCCTGCGGGTGCCCTTTCTCCGCTCCACACAAGGTGGTTTGTGTTTCCTAAGCTTGCACACGCTGCGTGCATGCGCTCACGGGCAGCTTCCTCGGCACAGGAGGGGGGCCCCTGAAGGACACGGGCTGGGCCAGGCTCACCGCTGTCGCACGCGGCCTCGTCGGACCCGTCCCCGCAGCTGTCCTTCCCGTCGCACCGCTGGCGCTGTGGGACACACTTCCCATTGCCACACTGGAAGTTCTCGGCCGGGCAACCTGGGGAGCACAGAACACTCAGCCGGGCTCCAAGTGCGGCTGCGGGCGCTGCGGGCGGCGGGGCACTCACTGCACTGCAGCTCATCACTGTTGTCCCCGCAGTCGTTCACCGTGTCACAGACCCAGAAGAGCGGCTTGCAGAACTTGTTCTTGCAGGTGAACTGGTAGGTGGTGTTGCACTCTGGGGGGGCGAGGGCAGCAGTCAGCTGGGGCGGCCCAGCCGGGGTGCGAGCCCCCAGCCTCACTCATCACTCCCTGCTTCCCCGGGGCGCCGCCCGCACACGGTCCCATCTGGTCCCCGGGTCTGGGGCCCTGTCACTGGCGGTGGCAGCTGACCTCAGCGCACAAAACACTCCACCGCCTGCCCACCGGAGCCAAGGCTCCCGACAGCAGGCTTGGGGAAGATGCTCCACGTCTGCCTGGGGGATGGGCACAACCTCCCCCCTCCCTGCCTCGGCCAGGTCGGCTGGCAGGCGCCAGGGCACAGCAGGGCGAGGACCCGGCCCCCACTCACTGCAGTTGAGCTCGTCGCTGTAGTCGGCACAGTCGGCCCAGCCGTCGCAGCGCAGCTGGTTCTCGATGCAGCGCCCCGTGGCGCACATGAACTTCCCTGGACACGCTGCAGGGCAGAGCGCAGGCCTGAGTCCGCGCCACCCCTGCCACCCACAGCCGGCTCCCTGCCCGCCTCCGTTCCCTCAGAGCCAGCCTCAGGGCACACTGAGGACTCACGAGCAGCCAAAGCAGGAAGGCGGGCCCGGGGTCCCTCCCATGCCAGTGACCAAACCCCAGGACGCTCAGGGGAAGGAGGAGAGGGGCTGGCCGGGTGGGAGCTCAGCTCTGCTGCCCTGTGTCCTCGGCCAGCTGTGCCCCTGAGCACCAAGTGCCCACAGCAACACTGAGCAGCTCCCAGCTCGATAACATGCGAGTCCTGACCCAGTGGCAACCGGTGTCACCACAGCTCCTAGGTGAAGGTACTTCCACATTTCTGTGTTGCTGAAATTGGAAGGTCTCTGACAATGGGTGTCATCAGGCAGGTGACCAAGTGGAGAGGAGGCCGTTGTCACTTTCCTGCATAGGCAGCTTAGTCACCTACCAAAGGCGCTTGCTCATCTAATAATGCTTTTGGAGGTGAGCCAGGCAGTTGGATTTTAACGTAAATTTGGATTCCTGCGTATGGTTAAAATGTCCTCCAAAGGTTACTTATTCTCAGATGAAGGGCTGCTATTCACATAGCAGACAGTGAAGTTATAGGCAACTTCCAGATCTCTTGGGGACACGTCACAGAACTGTCAAAGCCAGGAGTCGTGGTGTGGTGTCCATGCCCCAGAATTCCCTAACGTGCCTCACAAGTATGCTGTTAATCGTAAAGGTGCCGAGAGGCCACCAAGACAAGCCCCACGTCACCATGACGCAGAACCAAAGGCACAGGTAGGTGGTCCAAAGGCGCTCAGGGTCCTCGGGCTCCGGGGCTGCCCCTGGGCCTGAAGAGCAGGGGGTGTGCTTTTCCGAACACACTGAGGTCACCTCCTTCCCTCAATAGCACCTGCAGGTTATGCACCGTGCACTCTCTGGTGCCTCAGAATCAGGAGGGCACTGCTAGGAAGATGCAGCACAGAGAGTGCGTCTTGGGTCCTTCCCTGTCTCTAGCCAGGTCCCCTCCTAAAGAAGTCACTCACGGTCACTGGAGTCGTAGGACAGGTACTCGGCCAAGAAGCCCGTGTCGGTGTAGGACTGGTCCGAATGGAAACGGACAGTCATCCTGCTGCTCTTGCTGGCGACCACAAATGCGGGCCGCTCTCCGCAGAACCTGGAGGAGGAGGCCGACGGGAGAACCCACCCTTGGGCGTGGGCACCTCTCTCCGTGGGCACTGGGCGGGCTGCCGGCCGGTTCCTCCACTCGTTGGCTTGCTCCCCCAGCCTCTAGCTGCTCCCACACTCCCCAGCGGACCCCCTCTCCCCGGTGCTTACTTCTCCCCGTTGACCTCCACGTAGTCCTTGGAGCACGTGCCCAGGGGCACATTGGGCTCGAACAGGTAGAAGAATTTGAAGAACACCTTCACGTTCCGGTTGCTGGGCACCTAGAGAGGGAGATGCCGCTGGGTCTCTGCTGCTTCCTTCCCTCCTCCCCAAACCCAAGGACATCCGTGGTGGCCATGGGGCTGGGGTGTCGAGTGTGCCTCCCCCTCCCGTGTGGGCACCATGCCACACAGCAGGGGTCTTGGGCTGTATTGGAAGAATTAGACTCGGGCAAGACACTGTCGTATCACTAAAGAAGGCTGGCAAGTTCTCCCGACATTATCGAAGGAAGGAAAGGAGATGGATCTGGGACCGGGGGGGAGTGAGGAGCCGTCCTGTCAGGGGGCTGTCTGCGGCCGCCCAGCCAGTGCCCTCTGCTGCACATGCGCACTGTGACCTGGTCCCGCCCGCACCTCTGGGGGCGGCCACCAGCACCCTCCCGTCACCCGGAGCAAGCTGAGGCTCTGCCCACAAGCCCTCAGTCAGCCGCGGCACAGCTAGGACCTGAGTCTGGGCAGGACACGACCCTGCCCACCCGTGGGATTCGGACCTGCAGCCTCCTCAAGGTTGCTAAGGAGCTCCTCTCCCTTCTGTGCCCCTCACACGCCATCCTGGGGCGTCCCTTCCTCTCTCTCCCCCATCTGCCTGGCCCCCTCCCCTCCCCCACAGCTCCTACCTCGATGTCCCAAGTGCAGTTGATGTTGGGAGGGTAGTGGCCCGGATAGTAAGGGCTGCTAAATGCCCCCTGGTCTCCACGCAAGTAGCCTCCACAGCCTGAGAGGAAAGAGGAGAAAGAGCTCAAGGACTGAGGACCTGCTCAGCCAGGTGGCCGGCGGTCGGGCCTAAGGCAAAGCCGGGGCTCCCCGCGGGCTGCAGGCCACCTGCTGGGAGTCCCAGTGCTGGGAGCTGACGCACTGGGGAGGGCCCTGGACCCAGGTGAAGGGCAAAGGGCCCTATTACTTAAGCTCCCACTAACTGTGGCCCCTCCTCTGCCTGCCCACCCTCCTTACCGCTCATCTTCGGCAGCTGGAAGAACACAGCTTCAAAGCCAGGATGTCGCCGCTCGGTGTTGGTTATCAGCGTGACGAGCAGGACATTCTGGGAGGAGATGAAGGTCAGGTTGTAAGACGGGGGGTAGCTGCCACACAGCCTGTGGGGGCAAAAGAGGTGGGCATTAGCAAGAGCAAACAGAAGCCAAGCAGAGCCCCCCCGCCCCGGGATCCCACCCCTAACCCTCGGCCAGTTCACAAAGGGTCACAGTGGGGTCCATCAGCCCCACCCCACACAAACCATCAGCAACCCTAGTAAGGATTTAGTTATGAGACTGTCTTTGTTTAAAACAGCAAAACTTCAGAAACACTGACTGCCTAACATTAGAGGAGTCATTAAATAAACTACAGGCTAACTAATAATAATACTAGTAGTAATAACAGCATGAACAACTACCACTTATTAAGAACATGCCGGGACCTGTTCCTCGTACTTTTATATCTATTAACTCAGGTGGCTTCATGACAACTCTCTGAAGCAGAGATGATTATCCCCATTTTACAGATAAGGACACTGAGGCAGGAGAGGTGAACTAACATGCCCACGAATCCAGTCAATGAGTGTCAGGGCAGAAATTCAAACCCCGCATCAGGCTCCGCAGCCCACATGGCCGGTGACCATGTCCTGCTGCCTCTCAACTATGCCACGTCCGCAACCACTGAGAATGGGGATTAGAGACAGAATTACCGATTTGGAAAGACCATCATAATAAAGGGCAAAAGTAAGTTTACAATGGAGAATACATGAAATACAGAGTTTATTCTTGTGCTATTTATTTATTATTGTGGTATTTTCCTTCCGCACAACTGTAAACCTACTTTTGCCTATTTTGTATACTTTTGTATACTTTATTTTCATTCTTTCCCTTTCTTTTATTGTACACTTCCTTTTTAAAAAGCAGATGACCAAACCAAAGAGGCTGCATTATTCTATAAGTATAATCACAAACCTACACAGCAGAAAAGTCTGAAGATTACACATCACGAAATTAACAGTGACTGTTTCTAGAAGGATCATGGGGATGTCGGCCCTCTGTGCATGTCTGTTTCCCCCGGTTTCCTCCCCGAGACGCGTTTGTTTGGAGCACAGTTAATGAGGCACAGGGAAGAGCCCCGCCCGCCGTGCGCTGACAGTCCTGCCGGCCACGCCAGGCAGACGTCTCCGCCTTGGTCTGCGCTGGAATTCTAGCCCGATGTTAACATGCACCCAGCTCATCCCCACAGGCAGCAACAGAGGCGCCAGGCCAGCTGACTGGGCGGCGTTCCGCTCGCACCCCAACCTCCTCGGCAGGTGCGTCAGGCCTTTCAGTTTCCTGTAATCCTGATGCTTTCACATCTGGGCCCCGCTGACTCTGGAGAGGCTGGGCTCCCAGGGCTGGATAGTTCCTACCGAGAACAAGGACACACCCAAGGCCAAGCCCTGCCATGCAAACCAATCAACGCCTCCTCCCTGGGCTCTGACACCCCAGGGCGCCATCCACCTGCCCTGATCACCCCACAACCAGACACCCGCCCGTGAGAGACAGCCCTACACCCCAGAGCCCACTGGAAGCATCCAAACGACCTGCCCTGCCTTTTCTGCAGAAACCACGACAAAACAGCACTGCCCACGTTGTCAACCAGTGAGCTCGGCCTCCTGACCGACCCTGGTTCTTCCCAGGGTGGCCCCTCCTTTTGGGAACTATAACAAACTACCTTTTCCAGGGCAGCTGTCTCCCGACCTGGTGGCCTCAACAAAACCTCGGTGCGCGTACCTCTGCTCTGGCAGGCAAGGGCACAACGCCCTGCTCACTGGTGTCTGGGGCCCACGAGCCTTCCTCACCACGGCCAAGGCAGAGACACGACCTCTGCTCTGCTCATGCTGAGGAGGCCCCGCACCTGTCCTGGCTGCCTGGACGTCCGCAGTGGCCCGTGGCCACGAGGCACACCGTCTCCCGCCTGCACTGCGACTCGTTCCAGGGCCCGGCCCACCAGAGGCAGCTGCCAGCTCCCACGGCCACCTCTACGCCCCCAGACACTCACTGCACCACCGTGCGGGGTTCCACGGGGCTCAGGGTGTCATACACCACGACCCAGTCATTGTTATGGTCGTCACAGGCGGCGACATCAAAGCTTCGGAAGGTGAGGCTCAGCACAAAGTGGGCATCCCCCCGAAGGGTCCACTGGCAGCGGGCGAAAGCCGGGTAGGGGCTGTCAGGAAAGCCGGGTGTGGTGAAGCGAGTCAGCTCCCCTCCTCGGGCGTGCAGGGCGAATCTGCATCTGTCTGTGTGCGACACAGGAGGACATGGGCCAAGCTGGGCAGAGCCGCAGGGTGAGCAGCCCAGCGCCCTACAAGGGCATCCCCAGGGCCGGCCTCTCCAAGGAGTCCAGCTTGCCCTGGACCCGGGGAGACCAGGAAGGGGGTTTCCCATGGCCTGGGACAGGCAAGGGATGTGCTGGCTATCACCAAAGTGTGACTTTTGGGGACCCCTGAATTGAAGGGGCAACTGGCCACATCCCAATCTTCCTCTAGGACAGCGGTCTCAACCTGTGGGTTGTGAGCCCTATGCGGGTCGAACGACCCTTTCACAGGGGTCGCCTAAGAGATAACAGTAGTAAAATTACAGTTATGAAGTAGCACCGAAAATAATGTTATGGTTGGGGGTCACCACAACATGAGGAACTGTATTCAAGGGTCGCGGCACTAGGAAGGCTGAGAACCACTGCTCTAGGAGGAGGGCACAATACTTACTGTCCTGGGTGGTCTGTACTGTTCTGGGGTCAGTGGCTGAAAAACAAGAGGGAGAACATAGTACTTACTGATCTGTTCTATTTCCTTGTTCCTGCTTCCTTATGCTCCGAGGGAGGTGCTGGCCAGCACGCTGTCTCCTCTCCCCGCAGAGAGCGGTGGTTGCCCAGCGGTGGCCCCCTGCTCCACCCAGGCTGGCCCACCCAGTGCCCACCCCTGGCGCCCCACACTCACGGAAGGCCACCACCGAGGTCAGCACGAAGGAGTGCAGGGTGCGGGTGCGGGGCGGCAGCCTGATGGCACGCTCCTCGGCCATGGCGCGCTCGGACTCCTCCACCAGGTGGCTGGGGATGCTGAACTCCGACCAGTAGTAGGCGATGATGCTGCCCTCGCTGGGGAGAGAGGCCCACGTCGGAGATGCAGGGGGGCTCTGGCACCATGTATCCCCACTCTCCGAGATGCCAGGTGCAGACCCAAACCCATTCCTGAGTGGCTTATGTGGCAAAGTGCTCCACCCACCTCAGCACCTGTTGTCATGGCAACACTGCCCGGACACAAGAGCTGAGTCACAGGCATGAAGGGCAGACAGGACTGGCACCTTGGTTTCCCAGGCCAGGACCTCATGCTGCATCGCCCCGCAGGCTACAGGGCACGTGTCCCACGACCCCACTCCCAGCACTCTGCCCGCACCAGCCTTCTCCCAGCACCCACCTGAAGGCAGTCACTGCTGACTCCTTGTGGTAGGGACCCAGGACCGGGATCCCACTGTACAGCAGCTTCAGCTGCGGGAGGAGAGGAGGCTCAGGAGGCCAGATCGCAGCAATGGCCCTGCCCCAGCCCGTGCCGCCCCCTCCCTCCTGGGACCCGGGTGCCCTTCCTGTGTCCCACACCAACCCAGGGGCAGACAACAGGGACAGGGCTCGAGCCGGGAGGTGGACTCACCGCCTCCTTCACTTTGCTGGCCAGCTCTGCAAACTCAGTGGAGTTTGGGTTCTCATAGGCATCCAGAAAGTTCTCGTTTGTGACCCTCAGGTAGCCATTAAAGACCTTCTGGACCCGCGCATTCCGGTCTGGGCAAGACCAGGGAAGGAGAGCAGTCAGAGGAAGTGACATCACCCCGTCCTGTCCCCCAGTGTCCACAAGCTGCCCTCAGCAACCCCAGGGAGTGACGAGGAAGGGTGTGGGGGCAGTGGGCCAGGTCTCCACTGGAGTCCACACCCACACTCAGACCCAAGAGCATGAAGCAGCAAAACTGACAACCGGGAGTGAGTGCCAGGGGAGCCGGACGGATAGCCCCATGGGCAGCTCTGACGAGCCCCCCCCCCCCAGCTCGAAAGAGAAGGGGACACAGAGCCTTAGACCCTCCTCACCCACCCCACTGCTCCTCCCTTCTCTCCCTCCTATCCATCAGAGGCGGGCCCTGGTCTGTCCCTTGAGGGAGGAGGCAGTCACCCCACATGCCCCCAGCGCCCCTCCCCCAGCTTTACTCACACTGGAAGTGCCACACCAGTAAACCAGCCGTGACCGAGAGCAAGAAGCCGATAAGCACAGCCACCAGCACCACCCAGGGCCTGGGGCCTCGTTTCTCAACCTTCTTGGTGTTGTTGACCGGCAAGAACTCCAGGCCTTCCTCAAAGCCGTTCATGTTCTGAACAGAGAAAGGAACAGTGGCTCAGAAACTCTCTCACCTCCACAGCCTGTCTAAACCCAGTCATTGAAACTCCACTTACATGAATCATCTTTGATGCAGGTAGGTGCCCAGGTGTGGGCGGGCCCAGCCCAGGGCCATGATTGGCCACCAGGTGCCTCAGTGCAAGTTTCTAAGGGCAGCCCCTCCTCCAGCCGCCAGGGCCCGGGCCCCACTGATCCCCTGCACCAGAAGCCCGTGGGCAGCACCTAAACTCTACACCCTACGCAGTGGCCTTGCTTCGCCCTGTTTCACCAGTCGACAGGAAAAAGCAGTGACCTTGGGCAGCTCTGCCTGCCACTGTGGGACAGGCCTCTGCTTTTAGCTGGAGGAGCTGAGGACAGGGTTTCAAGGTGAGGTGAGAAGGTCATGGCTCTACTGGAATCCACACTCAGACCCAAGAGCAGGAAAAACACCAACACTTCCCACAAACAGGACGGCAGCGTCCTGGGTTCCTCCCTGTCGAGGGGCATCCAGGAGGGGGCATGAGTGTGGATGGGGCAGGTGCAGGTGCAGGGTCAGCACCCTGTTCTAACTGCCGCATTTATCTCTAATGTTGTGTTTCCTAGTTGTTGTATTTGTGACTTTATCTAAAACTGCACACAGTAACACATTCCATAGCTCACCTTACTACAGTATTCATATTACAGTATATAAATGTATCAAATCAACATGCTGAACACCTTAAACCTATACAATACTAGGCCAATTATATCTCAATAAAAATAAATTTTTAAAAAGATAAGAGCCTTGGCCGGTTTGGCTCAGCGGTTAGAGCGTCGGTCCGCAGACCAATGAATCTCGGGTTCGATTCCAGTCAAGGGCACATACTTCAGTTGCAATTCATCCCGGTCACTGGTCGGGTGGTGTGGAAGGCAGCCTCTCGATGTGTCCTTTTCACATCGATGTCTCTCTCTCCTCCTCTCTCTCCCTCCCACTCTGTCTGCACAAAAGTGGAAAAATGTCCTCGGGTGAGGATAAAAAATAATAATAATAAAAAAGATAACAAACACACCCCAGAGGCAACTACTTAAAATGTTTTCAAACCACTTGTTCTGGAATTTAATTCCATATTTCTAAATAACATGCCAATACCACTACCTCCTGATTCATCCACTTAAAATATAATCAACTGACTTTCTATTGCAATAATGTGGATTTTAATGTCCTTCCTTCGCTGTCTCTTACCCAATAGTTACAGGGCTAAAGTTTTAAAAAATTATATCCATGCTCCATTTGCATTATTAGTCTTGGAAAATATTGCTCACTACTGTTTTCTTCCCAGAACAACTATATTTTGTTTTTCCTGCTGCAAATATTCTTTTACTTGGGTTTCTTTTTTACATATACCCAAGTCTTTCCACACAATCTAAGAGCTCTGTAATACTCTTCTAATCTTCCACATGTAAAGTCTGTCAAATAACCTCTCACATTACTTTCCTCCTGGGGGGCTTCCCCCTTAAAGTTGTCTGGAACTTCCTTTACCATCACCCTGAGAATTCCCTTCATCTCCCTTCCTGGATTCTATGTCTTTATGTCTCTCGGATCACTTCATTGAAACACACACTTCAGTAGGTTCCAGAGAAATGTGAGACACACATTTCTGAAAGTACCTTACTTCCGCACTCACATTTGTTGATAGTTTGGCTGGGTATATAACTATAGGTTTCTAATCATTTTCATTTAGAATTTTGAAGGCTCCATTGCTTTTTAGCTTCCAACTGGCTTTTGAGAAATATGATAATAGTACACATCCATTTTTCTTTATTCATGATTTTTCTTCTTTCTCTGGAATCTAGAGGATATGCTTTGAATTGGGTTTTAAAATTTCATGAGCTGAGCACTCTACCTGGTCTTTGAATTTGAAACTCTTATCTTTCAGCCTGGAAAACTTCCTTGTATTATTTCTTAGATAACGCCCTCCCCTTCATATCCTCTGGTCTACCTTTCTGCAGTTTCTATTATATGTATTGATCTCTAACTTATCGTTTCTCTGCTATTATTCATCTAGTTTCTTAATCTTTGAGGTTTTCATTTCTGCTATTAAAACTTTAATTTCCAAGACTTCTTTCTTGTTCTCTGAATTTTACTCTTCTTGTTCTCTGAATTGTGGGTGCACAATCTTCTCATCTTTGTATTTCTACTGAGTACCTTTTCTGTTATTGTTTTCTCTTTCATGTTGAAGGCTTTCCTTACATGCCCAGGGATGCCTGGTTGTTTATACACACTTAGGAATTAGGTCCAAAAGGCTGTTTGGAAGCTCTGTCTGAATGGCTTGGCACAGTGGCTTCACTGTAGGCCACAATTAAGTGGGTATTTTACTAGGCACTCCCAACAGTTAAGCTGTGCAGATCTTTTTTGTGGGATGCTTTGATTGCTCCAGAGAATAATTTTCTAATATCTTGGATGGAATGATTTAAATCCAGACACTAGCAATTCAGAACATGTGAGAGAACAGACCTTTGTCTCGTTTCGCCCCTCACTACAGCCTTCCTCTGCGCCTGGTGTCCTCAGGTCTGGAGAAGTCAATTTCCGATCCCCTATGGGGCACTCACTGGTGGGGTGGGAGTATTTTTGTTTGGGACAGAGGTGGGGACCTGAGGACTTCTAACAATGCCCTTCCCTTCTCTCCTCTATCTCCTATGACACCAGAGCCCAATTCCAGAGCCTGGCTGAGAACATTATCAAAGAAATACAGGGAGAATATTTCCAAGAGCTAAAGAGAAGCATGTCTTTTTAATTCAAAAGGCTCAATGAAAGGAGAGAAAGATAAATGAAAAGCAAACATAACTAAATCCATCGTGATGGAACTTCAGAGCACCAAGAATAAAGAGCAGTCCTTGAAACCTTCATCTAGCTTTCCCCATTGTTGTATTTTACATTTGTCATCTGGGATTCTTCAACATTCTGGGATTTTTTTATTTGTTTTTGTTTATATTTTTATTTTTTAAATTAATTAATTTTTGTTACAGATGTTTCTCCTTTTTCCCCCCCACTGAGTTTTTAAAACATACTCTTTATAGAATTTTACCTTCCATAGAATTTTAAAAATAGCTTCACTGAGGTGTAATTGATAAAATAAACTACATATTTAAAGTGCTCAACTTTGGTGTGTATGTATATATACACCCACAAAACCATCACCATAGTTAAGAAAACAAGCCTGCCCATCATCTTGAAAAGTGTCCTCCTGGCCCTTCCCTTCCAAACCTCCCTGAGTCCCTTTTCTGTCCCCAAACAACCACTTACTGGCTTCCTATCAGTAAAGACTAGTTTGCTTTTTCTAGAGCTTTATATATAAATGGAATTATACAGCATATGCTCTTCACTGTCTGGCTTCTTTTGCTCAACACAATATTTTGAGATTCACCCACATCATATGTTTACTATGTCAACAGTGCATTCCTTTCTACTGTTAAGTATTATCCCACTATAAGGATACACAACAATTCATCTCCCTGTCCACCTCCTGAGGGACATTTGGGTTGCTTCCAGTTTGGGGCTATCACAAACAAAGCTGCTATAAACATCCCTGTATAAGTCCTTGTGTTGGTATATGCTTTCATTTCTCTTGAGTAAATACCTAGAAGTAGAACAGCAAGTTTGCATGATAAGTGTTATCTTTTTAAGAGACTGCCAAACAGTTTTCCAAAGTGACGACACTATTTTACATTTCCATCAGCGGTATAACGTATGAGAATTCCAGTTGTCCACATCCTATCCAACACGTATATAGTCAATCTTTTTAAATTTAGCCATTCTAATGGATGTTTAGTGGTATCTCACTATGGTTTTAGGATACTTTCCCCTAATGACTAATGATGTTGTACATCTTTTCATTTAATTAATTGCCATATGTTTATCTTCTTTGGTGAAGTATCTTTTCAAATCATAGTTCTTTAAATATGTTTTTATTGATTTTAGAAAGAGAGGAAGGGAGAGGGAGAGAGAGAAACATCGATGAGAGAGAAATATCTACTGGCTGCCTCCTGCACTCCCTGACTACTGGGGATTGAGCCCACAACCCAGTCACGTCCCTGACTGGGAATCAAACAGGCAACCTCTCTGTGCATGGGACAACACTCAACCAGCTAAGCCACACTGGCCAGGGCTCTTAGGTTTTTAAATTGGTTTGCTTATTTTCATATTGAGTTTTGAGTATATTTATAGGTAAATAGCTATACAGATATCGTCTGGATACAGTCCTTTGTCAAAAATCAGTTGTCCAGCCCTGGCCAGTTTGACTCAGAGGTTAGAGCATCGGCCTGCGGTCCAGAGAGACCTGGGTTCGGTTTCCGCTAAGGGCACGTACCTCGGTTGCGGTTTGTCCCTGGCCCTGATTGGGTCGTGTGGGTGGCAATGACTCAATGTGTCCCTTTCATGTTGATGTTTCTCTCTCTCTCTCTCCCTCCCACTCTATCTGAACAAAATATTTTTAAAATGTCCTCAGGTGAGGATAAAAAAAAAAATCAGTTGTTCATTTGATCTGTCTTTATGCTAATACCATACTGTCTTCATAACTGCAGCTTTGCAAGTTAAAAAAAGGTTGAAATAATGAGGTTAGCAAGGTGGCAGGATACAAGATCAATATATGAAAATCAATTGTATTCTTATTTATTTTTTAATCCTCATCCAAGGATATGCTTCCATTGATTTTAGAGAGACAGAGAGATGAAGGGAGAGAGAGAAACATCAATCTATTGCCTCCCAAACGCGCCCCAACCAAGGATCGAACCTGAAACCTTTTAGTGTGTGGAACAACCCAGCCAGTGCTCAATTGTATTTTTTTATGTTAACAATAACCACCTGGAAATTACAACTAAAAAATTAAATCTTTTATCAACAATATGAACTACAGAAGAGGCATCTGACAAAAGATGTGCAAGACCTACTGTAAAATACAAAACATTAGCACGGTTAGTGTGGCTCAGTGGTTGAGTGTCAACCAATGCACCAAGAGG